GTTTGATCATTTTTCGGACACTTAGATGCCCGTCAAAGAGGATCAAAAGCAGTTAGTTTAGAATGAGAATTTGATGCTCTGTATAAATGAATGTTCAGATTTATGACTGTTTAGTTGTCTATAAATATTTAAAATACTTAGGGATACCTAAAAGTAGTGGGGGGGAGATACCTTATTTTCGTATAGAAGGCTTAAGGGAATCTGTTTCCGAGGTTCCTCGAGAATGGCTCGGCGAAAATTTTTGAAACTTTTAGGGTAGATAGATCTCGATGAGTAAAATAAAAATTGTTATAGACGCTAAATTCCCAAATGCTTCCATCCGGAAGATTTTGGGAGGTCAAAGATAACAAATGACCTGAAGTTTTCCCCTCCACAAACATTCATACTACATTATTTAGGGCTGAGATTTTTTCTGTAGTAATTAGGAAGAAATCTGGATGTGTCTTATTTTTCTTTTTGAAAAATTTCGTACCTGAGGCTCACGAGAAGCAAAACAATGAAGGCACTATCAAAAAACCATGAAAAAATTTTTTTTTCGAAAGGTGTTAATTTTGTAAAATTCTTATATGCAAAGAGATGGTTTAACTTTCTTAAAATGTACTCATTAGATAGAGGGCATTTAGATCTATATACTAGACATTAAAAATGAAAAGACTGAAAATTTTGAGTCAGGAAAGAGGAGTTTCTTTTAAGAAAATTTTCTTTTTTTATAATTTGATAGAGAAAACAAAGCTCTATTTCATCCCCATTCAACTGGTACCATAATAATAAAATTTCGACAAGAACTATTTTTGTGTAAAATATAACTATAACATTGGATCATATTTTCATCTATATGCATTTTCCTTTTGATTGTTTCTTTGTTCTTCTCTTAGGAGTGGGTGCAGGTGTGAACTAAGTCAACAACTTTATATTCACACTCTCAAGAAACAGCCAAAAAGAAAATGTACATGGATGAAAATACGATCCAATGGTTATATTTTACATAAAAACAATTCTTATAGAAATATTATTATTATGGTACCAGTTGAATAGGGCTGAAATAAAGCTTCGTTGTCTCTATCATCTCATAAAAAAAGGAAAATTTTCTCAAGCCTTCTATACGAAAATAAGGTGCCTCCACTACTACTTTTGGATGCACCTAAGTAAATAAAAAACCTCGTTTGCACTAAACAAATTTCTAACTTCTCTAGATGATATTTTAAGATAGTTTTGACTTCCTAGTGTGCTGGAGAATTTCTAATTCCAATCATTGATTAGAGTGAACAGAAAATCAAAAGCTATAAACTTTTTTCACATGGGACGATATTTTTCAAAAAAAAATTATTTTTTTTTGTTTTTGAATTTCGATCGTTTATAGTCACAAATAAAAGAGAAGAAATTGGGTATTTTATTGTTATATAAAAAGATTTTCTTATAGTTTGGATTGAAGTAATTTTGATCAAAATACAAAAATGAACTAAGGTGGTGGAACAGCTTAACAATAATGTATTTTTGATTTCTTTTTCTATCATGTTAAGCATCTAGCTCAAATCCAGATTAGTCATTTTATTATCTAATGGATTTTCTATGTAAGTCTTGTAATACTGAGATTTCATAGATGAATTATGATGGTAAAGTTTCTAGAAAAACGGACACGGTATTTTTCCGGTTCCTGAAGACTTTGTTGAAGCTACTTTTTAAAGAGAACACAGTTGTGAACAAAATGAATGGTCACAGCAGTTCCTAAGACTTTTTGTTCAAAGGTTAAAGGTATCGCAAAAAAACGAAAAAAAGACGTTTTCTAGTCGATTTCTTGCCGTCATAGTTCATCTATGAAATCTCGGTATAGAATGCATTAGATAGAAAACTCGATTGACTATTAAAATAACTATTTAGATTTGAACTAAGTACTTAACATTACAAAAAAAAAAAAAATCAAAAGTACATTTGTTGTTCAACTTTTTTTTCATCACATTATATAAAAAACTCTGTATGAAAATCACTTTTGGTCTCCTTCAAAGGTTCGCTTCCAGTGAACTAACTTTAGATGAGAAGAAAATTCTAAATATACAAATTAGGAACGAGAGTGAAATTTCAATTTCAACTGATTATGTTTAATTCAGTCTATTAACTTTTAAGTGTACGAAAATTGACGAGACATGTTGTGTAAAGACTTTCTATATATAATGATTAGATTATAATGCATTAATATTTCGAAGATTCAAGAAAATCTCGTTGCTTTTGTATTCATAATAGAACAAAAGAAAAAAAGAAATTATTGTAAATGAGTGATGATCGTCTGATGCGTCATTGATAAAATGAATGTTCTCTATTTGCTTCTTTTTTTTTTTGACAAGTAAAGACTATTGATCTTTCATTAGAAATAAAATCAATATTTGAATAAATGGAAAAGAAATGATCATTTATTTAAAGAAGAGCCATTTTATTTTTGTTTTAATGACAGGAGTATCAATATAGTATATAAAATATGATGGATATTAGTCATTATTCACAAACGAATTATTATTTTATTATTATAATTAACTTATGTTTATTAATTCAAGGTTCATTTTTTGGATTCTTTTATTTGAAAAAAAAAAGATAAAATTTTTGTTTCATATTTAGGTCAATTCTATTTACCTAATGAATGTTTTATGACATTTGATAATGCATCAGTAACATCTGACCCTTCAAATCCAAATACAAAGTACAATGAATTTGTTTTATTTTTCCTAATTTGTTTTTTGTTTTTTTTATCTTAGTATATTTCTATGTCCATCATCATGTTATACAATGCGATATCTATCTAATCAACAAGAATATCCATTATTTGGTAATGAAACATATTCAGGAGTAAGTTTAGATTTAAAAATTTTTTAAAAAAAAAGTATTTTGTTTTTGTTAAATTTTTCAAGAATTCGCTGATATGTAAAGCAGCTTTACATGATGGTCGTATTGCTCCATGGAATGAAACAAATTCTACAATATTAATAAGAAATAGTTCATTTCGATCATCAACATTTATAAGCACGCTTAGAAATGGAATTCTTTCAACTAAATTAGTTGGTAATTCATATTTAGTTTATCAATTTCTTAATAATCGAATAAATGGTTTGAAAAAACAAAAAAGAAATGAAATTTAATATATAAAATTAAAAAAATATTTTTTTTCTTATTTAGAAACATCAATACCTGATATAGCTATTGAACATCGAAAATATCTTTATTCTCAAAATCAATCATCAAGTATAACATGTAGAAGTAAATTAGATCTTTATCCAATTCAATCGATTAATATTGATCAAGGATGTATAAATATATTCAATTAATAAATAAATAGATAATTATAAAGATTTTTTTTTTTTTTGTTAAGGGAAACATTGGACAGAAAATCGTTTAAAATATTTTACATTTCCTCGAAATTTAACTCGAAATCAATCATTAACTTTTTGTTTAAATAATAATGGAACATTAATGTATTGGGCAAATTCAACTGAACAAGAAATACTTCAAAGTAAAATTGTTTTATCATCGATTTATTTGTTTGTTTGTTTTAAATAGGAATTCTTACAACAACAATTCATGATTTATTTCATTTTCAAAGAAGTTCAGCTAATAATAATACATTAACTTTTTTTATTGGTTTAAAACAAATTAATCGAATTAAACAATGGGAATCAAATGTAAGATTTTCTTAAGAACATTCTTAATTTCTTCTGCGAGTTTTTTTTTAAAAAAATGATTTGATGAAAAGTTTTGAAATCTTCGAGAGAAATAATTCTCAACATATAGAGCAAAAGCTGTATTAAGGTCAAAATTTTTAGATGCTTTCTTCTATACACTACGTTCCTTTCTCGACTCTGAAATGTTTTGTTTTTTTCTCTTATACAAATTTCAATAGGTTATTTCATATAATAAATCATTGGAAACAAATTTTACTTCAATAATAAATGAAGAAGATTATTGTACAATAATTCAATCAAATGGTTCTAATATTCAATCAATAAGAATATATGATCATAAATGTGATGATATAAGTATTCGTGGATATCCACTTTGTCGTCTTTTACGTAAGTTTAATTAAAGAATTTATTAGATTTTAGTCTGTTTTTTTTTTGTTTTGATTAGCATCTGTTATAAATGATGAAAATGATTTTATTTATCGTATTGAAACAGATAATGAAGCAAAAAATTTAATTGGTGTTATTGATTTTTGTTCGGAATTAGGTGGATATCCAATTTATGCAAATAATGCTTATGAATGGCAATTAATTCAAGGTATTTCTAACATATTAGAATTTGTTTAAGTTCATAGAGTAATTTCATAATGATTGAGTTGAGATTGTTAATGTACTGCCATTATAGGACATTTACAGATGAACTATTGATAATTGTCTCTTGTTGAATTATAATCATTTAACTAAGTTTATGATTTTATGTTGGGTGTAAGTGAAGCGGAGACCCGCTACACCCACATCTCAACATGCATCACTTTACTATACTGGTAAGATTTATACAAGAAATCTTCTCAATAGTTAGATCTTTTTTTTTTATGTGAATCACATTTTATTAAATGGGTCCTAACGGGACTAAATAAAGCCTAAAATGATTCGTGTCCATAGATGTTTATTGCTGAGTTATGATTGTTTTAGTGAATTTTTCAACAATATGCCGTGAGATCCATTAGATCATTTTTAGAGAAGATTTTTGAATTTTAAGTTCAAACATTGCACAAATAAAGTTTTCAATAGAACTAATTCATTATAAAAGTATTAACTTTTCTAGAACCTCCGATCTCGAAATATAAATATAAGAACAAATTTTTCTTCTTTAGATAATAAAATTTTCAATATTTAATATCTGACCATAAGAAATACTAAAAACTCTGATACTTTCACAATGAACTAGTCCCATGTAGGACTTGATTTATACAACTTTTGACCTCAAAATTCAAAATTGAATTTTGAAGGTAATCTAATAGTCATCACAACATTATGTTAAAAAATTCACGTACGAGAGAGAAGATCCCCAACTAATCCACACCGTTTTTCATGATATTTTGTCTATATGTCAGGGATAATATTCTAAGAAGAATCCTAAGAAGGTTTGGACTGATGGTACTTCCATCGAAGGTTATGACCATTTTACTGATTTTTCTACCTAACCACAAGATATATAGGGAAAAATTGAACAATGGAATTTTAATCTGAAATTTTGCTCATATGTAGCTTTTCTAGTCATTAGAACACTCCAAAAGTTTCAATGGTAAAAAAAATTTCCTTTTGGAGATATTCAATTTTAAAAAAGTTAATCTTTCAGGACTTTATAGTCAAGAATCAATATCTCCAGAAGAAAACATTTATTTTTTCGCTAAAATTTTTAGAGTGTTCTAATGATTGCAAGAACTACATATGAGCAAAATTTTAGATTGAAATTCCATTGTTCAATTTTTCCCTATATACCTTATGCTAGGTGGAAAAATCAATAATAACCCTCGAAAGAAGCACCACCGGCTCAAACTCTCTTAGGACTTTTCTTAGCATATTGCCCCACAATATATGGACAAAATATCATTGAAAACGGCTTGGATCAATTGGGGACCTTCATTTGTTAGACGACTATAACTAAAGAAGAAAGATGCATAAGCACGAATTCTTTTTTAGAGCGTTTCAATAGGACTTACGTAATGAGATGAGACTCATCCTACAAACGACTTATCATTTGACGAGGTTCTCTCGTTAGAATAAAGTCAAGAAATTAATAAAACGATCATAACTCGAATAGAAACAATTAAAAACTCAAATACTCTTGAATTGATACTAATCATATTAATGTCTATGTATGAACAAAATATTACAAAAAGCGTAATCTCCGAGAGGAGTACATTCCTTTGTATCAACACAATGATGAACAATGAAATCAACTTCAATCAATCAAAATTAGAGATGGAATCAGTACCGATCATAAAAAATCCAGACTGATTCCATATTTGATTGGAATCTCTGATTGAAAATTACCGATTCACATTTTTTCTTGAGTCAATTCAGAAAAATTTTTCACTACTTTTTAGACCTCGAAATCGGATCACTTTTTTTATGGCTCGACTCAACCCAAAGTGGTCCGCCCGGACCCGAAAGAAACTTCGTTTACAAAGATTTTTTTTCTCAATAGACAGTTATTCCATATTTTTCGGCTTTTATAAAAAGTGATAACCAAGAGAGAAGGGATGGCGTGGAGAAGTTTCTCCCTATTCTCCTCAAGGATAAACCAAATCTCAGAAATAGTTATGTCAAAAAAAGGATAATATCGTCGGGCCGTGCGGCCCGTTTTGAGACTTGCTGCTTTCTCTTATTCGAATGAAAAATAAAGTCATATTTTCTTATTTGCAGTTCGGTTGTTATCATGTTTAGACTTGAACTCAATCACAATTATTCATTTTGTATATTTTCGTTCGAATCTAAAAATGAAATTATAATTTTGTAATCATTGTTAAAGAAAAAAAATATTTATTCATATTGTTTTGAAAAAAAAAATAAAACTTGCAAATATTGAATATATGTTCTATATATCTTCTGATTCATTTGAGTATAGTTTAATTTTAATAAAAGAAAATTTTTATATTTTAAAATTAAATATTATAACAAATATTCTATAATATTTGATTTTCATTTTAATTTTTAATATCGAAAATAAATTAATCTTGAATTTTCTATATATATATATATATAGAAATAATGTTAAAAGATTCAAATTTTAATGTTGATTATGTTTATACAAGTTTAATATCTCAAACAAAACAAGTTCAAGATGCATATTGGATGCCAAGAAATATTTCTGTATGTTTTTATTTCTTATTCAATCTATGTAAAAAAAAAAACAGGAAATCTCAATTATTTTTTTTTAGTACAATAGTTCATTAGATTATATATGGTTTACTGGATCTCGAGGTACAGATCGAACAGGATATCATTTATCAAAAGCTTATGATGAATCTTATTATGCTTTATATGATATAAATCCATATTCAAATTTAAATAGACTTCGATTTTGTCGTAAAGATGATATTCGAACATTAATAAAACAATCTTCATTATGTAATTATAAATCTTGTATATCAAAATGTTTAAATATAACTCTTCCAAATCAAAGTGATGATGCAAGATTTGGTTTTTATAGTTGTATACCAAAAAATAGTTTAGTTGGAATTGTTTATACACAATCATTTCCTGATTATGGTGATTTTATTCGACCTAATCTACCAATGGATTATAGTGTTGGACTTCGAAGAAAATTTAATGAATCATTAATATTAAATTTTGAACAAACAGATAAAGATCTTCGTTATGATTGTTATGAATATATAAATTTTGATAGATTATCAACATTAAATGATACAATTAAATTATTATGTGATTCATCAAATACAAATAATAAAACAATAAATGGAATTAGTTTTAAAAAAGATTTTAATGGTCTTATATCAATTTCTTTAGAAAATAAACGAATATCAGGACATCATACAAGATTTATTGATTATCAACTTTGTAAATTTTATTTTCATTAGAAACAAAAAAGATGAATAATTTTTCTTTTGTTATTATTTTATTTGTTAGACGATAGTCGATGTAGTTATCAAGGTATATATCATCCATATATAAATCAATGTATTTGTGCACCAGGTTTTTATGCAAATCAATGTCAATATAGTAAATAAATAATAATATTTATTTTAAATCAATAATAATAATAATAATAATTATTCTTTTTTTATTTTTCTTTATAAAGGTTGTCCACCAGGTTATTACGGACAAACTTGTGATTATTATTGTCAAGGTGATGATGATTATTGTAAAGGTTTATTAATTTGTTTACCTGATCCATATGGATGTTCATGTTATACTGGTTGGTATGGAACTAGTTGTAATATAAGTAAAGATAACAGATTGATGTTTCTTTTTTTTTGTTCTATTTATTGATTATTATTTGAATATTTCTTTTTTTTTGTTTTTGGAAAGGTTGTCCAATTAATCAATATGGACCTGATTGTTCTTATCAATGTCCATGTTCAAATTGTAATAGATTTACAGGTGTTTGTAATTGTACTGGAACAGAATGTTATAATGGTAATTAGAAATTTATTTTAATTTGTATTTAAAAATTCATATTTTAAAATTTCATGAACATATACTTATACAATACCAATGGGTGTGAACTCAGTAAAATCAAAGAGTTTTTTTAAAATCGTACATTTCTATTTCATACGTCGTCTTTTTCAGTCATTGATCTTTCATATTATATCTCACTCATGATTACTATCACAAAAAAAAGCTGTTAGCGAAATCCCTATGGCATTAAAATGTAAAACATGATGTAGCTGTTGTTGTTAATTACAGAAAAATCGTTTTATTCTATCGATTATGCGATACATTTCTTTACTATCCTCTTACTTAATACTCCAGAAATGTAATAAGAAAGTAATTCATATATTATAATGAGACGTTATTCATATACAGTCTTCGATTGTACATGAACCAGTGACGCGGAAGACGGAGTTGTTCCTAAGGTGTCTGCCATGTCTCTGATGAGCCACTTCTAACTTGTCTCTGATTATCTGTAGGGGAGAGAGTCGAGTGTAAATTTCTACTCTATACTTCTCAACATTTCTTTTAGCTCGTGTTTCATAATATAGTATTTAGTAGGATTATTAATCAATAGAATTGAATATGTTATATTTATGTTTACAATTCAAACGAAGTTAATTAATCGTACAGTTTGATATTAGTTCACATTAATAGATAATCGTATTTGATTTTCAAGATTATTATGAAGTAATATCGACTCGGTAGTTGACTGTTTTTATTTAGCAAAATGTTAGAGATAATTTCCGAAGAGATAGATTACCATCTTCAACTAGTACTTAATCTTTTCAAACGATAATCGTATTGTTCATTTTTAATTAATTCAATTAAATAGATTATCGTACTTTTCCATAGATATAGAATTTTGAACTCTATCAATTAGTAATATTCTTATGTAGAACTTTATTACTATTAAAATCTTAAACTTTCTTTATTATTTCTTCGATCATGAGAAATAGAATTCGTCATGTTATAGTAGATTTCTATAAACAAATTAATTCTTGTAATGAATTAAAAATGACTTGTCATTATGAACATAATCTATAAATATTTAAATGTTAAAACTCTTTTTTTCTTTGTTAAATATTGAATTTATGTTTCTTTTTTGTTTACTAAAAAGATTATTAAAAACTTCTATATATATATATATATATATATATATATTCCAAGTGAGATCTATCTTTTGAATAATAATCAAATAAGAAAATTAAAGGAAAACTTTCTATATTCTAAAATAAATAATCAGGCTTTGAAAAAAAACTTTTTTTTTTTTACAAAAAAAAAAAACTAATTTCAGGTATATATACTCGTTCGGAATTACAATCAAGATGTTCATCATCGTCGTCATCATCATCATCTAATTTAGTATTATTAATCGTTATTCCAATAATTAGTGTAATTATATTAATATCCATAATTGCAATAATATTATATTGGAAATTAGTACATTCAAAACGTGGAGAAAATAATATGAATTATTCTTATCCATCAACTAATATAAATGATGAACATCTATAAGATTTTCTTCAATATGATTAAAATGTTTAAAATGACATGGTGGTGATATATCACTTTTTTTAATAAAACGTTTTAAAAATTTTTGATTTAATAAATTTTCTGTATAAAATTGATTTTGTTTTAAATATGAATAAAATCTTGTAAAAAGTTTTTCATCATTTATTTCAAAACGTAACATAATTGATGAATTATTTAATGAATGACGAAATGAAAGTGTTAAATTTGTTGGTTGAATTATATTTGATATTGATGTTATACGATCAGACCATAGAATAAAACCTGTTTTTTCATCAACAATCAATAAACGTAATTCACATGAACGTCGAGGATTTAAACCAGTATTATATAACCATATTGGATAACCATGATGAATTAATTTCCATTGTTCTAATGAACATACTTGAATATCAGTTAAAATAAATAAACGTATTAAACAAGGTGATACATGTATTAATGAACCCATAGATGAATAAAGTGATTCGATACGTTGAATAAGTAAATTTTCATTTATTGGTAATGTTTTATCTTCATGAAATTTTCCATCAATTAATTCTGAAAAACGTCTTTGAAGTTTTTCTAATTCTGAACAATTCCATTGATTATTTTCTTGTTCAATTGTTAATAAAGGTTTTACTATTCCAATTTGTTTTTTTTCTCGTCTTTCAATTGAATTATATTCCATTGATGGTATTAAACATAATAAATCATTTTTAGTTTTATTTATATCAATATTGAATAAATTATTTGATTCATTAGGTAAACATCCATCTAAAATAATTTATTTTTCTTGAAAAAAAAAACAATAACAATAAATTTTTCATAATGTTCTATATGATACATCTTTAAAATTTAACAATATTCTATTAGTTTAACTCATTACAATTTTCTCACTTAGAATGACATAGTTGATATTTACATAAGATGATTGTTCTTAAATACTTTGATATATACTGTCGACATGTTTCTTTTTGCTTCTTAATTGATTAAACTTACTTATTTGTTGTTTTTGTTTTAAACGTGGCGGTTGTTTTAACTGTTCTCGTCTTTTCAATGGTTCACTTTTCATATGTGCATTCAAACGAGTAGTCAATGTCCAAATGATTTGTTTTCCATCAATCGATGTTGAATTACGTCGTGATGAAAGGTTACTTAGTTCTTCCATTAAAACAATCTTACATTATAAAATAAGAACAAAAAAAAAAAAAAAAAAGGAAGAAATGACGTAATAGAAATGTTTGCATGTTTAAAAAAGAAAGAAAACGAAGGACAGTGTCATTATTTGGGCACTCATGAAATAATTGCACGTTTTAACGGTATATAAAAGCTGCATTTCACCGTCCTTGTTCAATCACATTGTGCATATGTGAGGTGAGAGATGCAAAAGAAAAAAAAAGAGAGAAAAAGAAATGCAACGAAAATGGCTCCTTCTTTTTTTCTTGTTCATGTTAGCTGTTAATCCTCTTATAAGCAAACAAGATCGAACGATTAGAGAACAAAGTGCATCATTATATAATCGTTTCTGTCAATTGAATTTACTTGTCGTTTTATTTTCAACTTGCTGAATGTCAATCGTATTTATGTGTCTTCATCATGTATATTAAATATCATTTTTTTTTCTCTTGTTTACATAAATCAATAAATCAAATTTATTAGAATTTTTATTAAAATATCAAATTTAACTATACAATATTAATATTGATAATATGTAACAAATAGAATAAATAGATATTGATATTTATATAACTTTTCTGAAAGACTATATCTGTTAAGTGTTTCTGATTAGTTGAGCAAACAATTGAAAATAATTGGTGATGAGAATGAAAAAAAGGCTTATTTGTTTAGTTAGTGATGATGTGAAAATGTATCGAAGAGAAAAAAGAACATATGCTGATGATTAGAATCTGCGTGACAGAATGATGATTATTTCTTATGGTTGGATATGTTATCTAATGTCAGTCTAGATTAAAAGGTCGTTTATCGAAAAAAAAAAAAAGTATAAACAGAATAAGAGAAGATATATATTTGATCACTATTGACCGATAAATGATACAATATATTTACTTACATATTCAAGGTTTTATAAAGTGTTGTTTATTTTCATCATAGAAGATTTTCTATTTACACTTTTATTTGATTTATAAAAGAAAGAAAGAAGAGAAAGTTCTTCTTATGAGTAAATGATGATGAGAATATTATTTGTAGAACATCGAGAGAGAGAGAGAGAGAGAGAATATAAGTTGGTGAAAGATTTCTTTCTTTTTTTTATTCTCTTAGGAGAAGATAGATTCTATTCTATTCTAAAGAATTTTTTTTTTTCTTCTTCTTCGATAAATGGTCGATCTCATAGGACAAAAAAAAGAAATATTTTGTAAATTAAATCTTAATCAATTAGATTAACAATCGATTCAATAAGAGAAAGAAGAAGAAGAAGAAGAAGAAGAAGATTGAGATCTTATCGTCATCAGTTTTACAATATGATTTATGTCCGAAAGAGTAACCTTCTTCTGTCCGCTAAATAAGAGTGATATTCTTCTTTGCATTTCATTGCTAAAAAAAAAAAAACGATGACAAATCTATATGCAAAAATATTATTTGAATCAACAGAATATCTTTGATCAAATGTAGAAAAAAATGCGGAAATTTTTTTTTTGTTTTGTTTTCATGAACATATCATTGTAAAAATTAATACTCCAGATTTATCAAGACGAATATCATATGAGATTCTTTCTGAAAAATTTTCTTTTGTTAATTTTCGATAATATATCATAGATTAAATATAGACTTATATATTCATGTAGGTTTTTCTTTCATTTTTAATTATTTATCAATCGATAATTAGACATACTATTAGATTCTATTTTTATTTTTGAACAATATAAATTCATTCTAAAAATAGATTCAAATGTAGTATAGATCTCTTAATCAATAAATGTGTCATGTATATTATTTAATAATAATGATCTTATGAAAGAATCTGTCATAATTTATCAAGTCGATTTTTGATCAAAATTTTGCTTTATGAATAAATTTTATAAACAGAGATATAAATAAATATATATATTTTTTTTTATAATAATAAAAACAAAAAGTTGTTAGTGTAATTCCTATGAGAATATAATGAAAAAAATATAATGTAGTTGATGACATTGTAAAAGAAAGAATTCGTTAACATAGGTTTCGATTTGTAAATCGTATCTACTATGAATGTATGTCAATGATGACAGATGATAATTGTAATCTATTGTGGTCAATGTCAAACAAGGGCGAAAGACAGATATCTTAAATTGGCCTGTGTTTCATATTAATCCTGTCGTAGATTTCAATCTCATGAGAATGCCTCTCGCATTTCATGTAAAGAGACAAGTAATACTAAAGAACCCATCAAGGTCGAAGACATAACAGAGGCATTGATAATATGTTTGTCATGATCTATGGACGGGGGTCTCAATTTCTACTTCTATACTTCAACACAGCGTTTAGATTAATTGATTGAAAACATATCTATATACATATAATCCTTGAAAATGTGTTGTTCTTTCAGATAACATAACAGCGTGCTTTTTTTCTGATAGAAGTAACTCAGCAATTTACAATAAGGATTGCACTGCATCATTACTATAAACAGTTTCAGTAATAATGATACATCGATATAAAGTTACTTATACAAGTCAAATCTGAAATATGCACGATCTAAAAGCGTAAAACTCATTGACTAAAAAAGTTACTTTTCGTCAGAATGATTAAAATTAAGATAAATACATAGGAAGATGGTTCGTGATCTCATCTTCCATAAACGACAAAAATTTTTATTTAGCATCCGATTTCCCCCCCCCCCCCAAACTTTTTTGAGGATTTCTATCATTCCCTATTCGAAAAATAAGCTGCTTTCAGAAAAAAAAAAACAGAAAATCTTCTTCATTTATAGTTTCTTGATTGAGTAATCCAAATTTCTCTGTTGATACTTATTCGATATATTTCATTTTGTTTTTGTTTGAAAGAACACGTCAACATAAAAAACAGTACAGAGCCTTTTTTCGAGAGTTTTTGAAGTCATTAAACTTTCGATCATTTTTCTTCCCTTAAAAAGTAAGAATTTAAAAAAAAAGGCTCTATACTGCATTGCATCTTGACATGCTCTTTCAAACAAAAAAAAAAGATTAAATATATCGGATGAACGAGAAATTTGGTTTGCCAAATGATCTATCTTTGACCATTGTGTGGTAAATCTCTCCCTCAAACATCATGATATCGGGCTGAAAATCTTATCACAGCTTCTCTACTACACCCTCAACATATCCTGAAAATTTTATTCCATTTGAATATTCCTAGACTGAGATTGATTTTTGAGAGCGAAGGTCTTAAACTGTTCAATTGAAATTTTTAAATATTTTTACTTTTCTATGTTTCTACATAAACTTAAATTTTCGTTTATCATCATTAAGGATATTTCTTCTAAAACAAAACAAATATATTACTGCGTTTATTTTATGATATCATTTAATGGTTACAATATATTCGATACCTTAGCTAAACAAACCTATGATCAAGTTCGGATACATAGCTTTGGTAGACTATCTAGTACTAACTATTATATCAAAGATATTAATATTTTCCTTGAGATATATATATAAATTCATTGGTATGACTATTATTTGTACCAAATATATCAATATCATCATAAACTATATCAAAAGAATGCGTTTCGTCTTACTTGTTGATATTTTTATTAAGAAAAATGTAACAATCATATAAATATAGATTGGATTATTATTGAATATACCTTTAGTAAATGATTTAGAATGTATAATAGAATAAGAAAGAAAGAAAGAAAGAAAGAAAAGAAAAGTTCAATGAATAGAATAAGAGAAAGTAATAATCAATTGAGATGATAGACTTGATTGGCATATGAATAGAAATGTTAATGTGTTATTATCAATGGTAAATTGAATATTGAAAAAGAAAATAATGAAGATATTTTATTCATTATATTAAGTCAATTATGTTTTCGATTAAATTTTTTTTTACATAAAAACAAAAAACAATAGATTTTATTTAAAGTAAATCATTCATTGAATATCGTTCTTCTATCGATCATCGATTCGATGGATAAGTTGTTAAGTTTCTTTTGTTGTCATTTATGTCTTGTAAATTTTAGATAGATAATTTATAGTAAAATCAATTGACAATTTCTAGTACATGTTACATTTACTTAAAGATTTTTACGAATTTTAATGAAAGTTGATGAAATACAGAAATTTGAAAAAAAACAAATGTAAATTTTGATCGAGAATATTTTGTTAATTTAACATTCGATCTATAAATTTTCCCATTAATCTGATCGTTGTTATCGAGGAATCTATTAATTTAAAAGACTAAAAAAAAAAAAAAGCATTGCTTCACAAAGTCACTTTCCATTATTTTGTACTTTGAATATTTACTGTTCACTAATGGTATGTATTTGTATAAAAATAAGAAAAGAATCGAACAGTACTAATGATAATTCTGTTATCGATTATTCTTACTATCATCCTACTTACAAGAGAATGTTCTCAAGTGTGAAGCACCGTTTTGAATCGGATCTATGCAAGTTAGTAGAGGTCGATGAGACTAGATGAAATTTAAAATGGTTCGTCTCCATACGCTGTCCTTCTCGAGTGATGACCGTTTTACTGAATTTTCGATCTATAGCAATAGATATATGGGAAAATGAAATCACGAGATTTCGACCTGAAATTGTGCTTATCGATAAGTCTCATGGTTTTTAGAATGTTTTCTTCTGTAGATATTGAATATCCAAAAAATGATCATGTGTCACAAGGAAAGGTCAAAAAAAGAACGAGTGTCTTCAAGTTTCGATATCTCAAGAGAAAAGCATTTTTTTGGGTTGATATTTTTAGGACATTCTAAGGACCATGAGACCTATCTATGGGCAAAATTTCAGATCAAAATTCCGTAATTCGATTTCTCCATATGTACCTTAGTAGAGGTCGAAAATTCAGTAAAATGGTCATAACTCAAGAAGAACAGCGTATGAGGACGAACCATTTTAGGCCTTGTCTAGTCTCATAGAGCTCTATTAACTAGTCTAGATCTGATTTAAAACGGCGCATCACACTTGGGAATCTTTCCTTGTTAGTAACAGACATGATTGATTGTAGTCAA